AAACGAGCCTGCTAACCCTGCTAATTTTCATTATTTGCCATTATCGTGTAGATATCTTTTGCCGTTATTAGGCAACGTCCAGCAAAATAAGATTTATATATATATATATATATATATATATATATATATATATATATATATATATATATATATATATATATATATATATATATATATATATATAATTGTTGTCAAAAATTGTAAATTGCATCCTAGCTGTTGCAATAAAGTGCTTTTGTAATTAATCTTAAGTCCTAGCAATAGCAATCCGGAACACAATTCACCTGAATCCTATTTACATAGGCATTAATACCTGTTTCTGTCTGCAGGACGTATTATGCTTCAGTGAGGCTTATGTATATAATTATGTATATTTCTTGTCTGTTGCGTATCGTACGCATCTTGGCGTTCGTGCGTGATGTAGCAATGAAACACACTACAGTGTTCCACTGTAGTGTGTTATGGGTCTTGGGACTACAGAGTACAACGTTACTTTGAGTTGCATCATTTCTGTACCACATGTCTCGGTCACATACTGTCTCTGCTACATATTATCTCTGCCACATATTATATCTGGGCCACATATTATTTCTTCCATATATTATCCCTTCCACATATTATATCTAGGCCACATATTATATCTGGGCCACATATTATATCTGGGCCACATATTATCTTTTCCACATATTATATCTCTGCCACATCACTTCTGTGCTACAGTTTTGCGTTTTTGGAACACTAATGGCCACGAGAGGAGACTAATTTCTTGCAAAATTCGCGCTGAATTCGAGGCAGAGTGCAATAACGCTGATGATAAACTAGTGTTATTAATACGGACATCTGCCCCGGGCCTGCATGACTAAAGGGGGGAGGGGGGGGGGTTTCGAACCCTGGTAAATCAGGACATGCACAGATATCTGGGGCAGGGGGGGTCGAGGCTTAATGGGCCGAGGGGAGTGAGTGATGTTCTTGTAAGGTACAATCAACATCTTTTCCAAACTGCTGTAACTAGAATCGATGTTTTTTCAAATGTTTGTTGATATAATTATATGTTATAGGGAAACATTCTCATCACGGTTTCTGTTTATCTTCTCATTTATATATCAAGATATATGTTGTAGTTATATATATATATATATATATATATATATATATATATATATATATATATATATATATATATATATATATATATATATATTTATATATATATATGTATATATATATATATATATATATATATATATATATATATATATATATTATTAAATATGACCGAAAAAGTAAGATTAATAATTCTAACACGAATTTTCTCAATCTTTCGTACATTGCGCTTCACTGTTGGAGGTAAATCAAAAATCACTTCTCCAAAACAACACAGAAATCATCGATAGATACAGCGATAGCAGGCGGCTTGACGTTTGCGAGGCACTACACATCAAGAAGTCAACACCAGCAATCAACAGCCAATTATTGCACAACTATATTCTACCCACCTCAAGACTCCGCTCCAATATAGAAGCATCAAGAAATATGGACCAATAGGCTTTCTACAAATACTTCTATTCAATACCCATTGTTTCTGTTCTGTCTTGTGTTGATACTTTTAATACCCTATTAATATCCTCTAGTGTTCTGTCTTGTGTTAATGCCACATCATCCTTCCCACCTCACTCAAATGTAATGCCACATCACCCTTCCCACCTCACTCAAATGTAGATATAAAATCAGGGAAACGCAAGTTCTAATCAGTTGTGTATTTGTGAAGTCTTTGAAAATGTAATAAGTTTTACGAAACGCGCCCGTGTCGCGTCAGACTAGAAATAAAAATGAATTTTGGAGAAGTGATTTTTGATTTACCTCCAACAGTGAAGCGCAATGTACGAAAGATTGAGAAAATTCGTGTTAGAATTATTAATCTTACTTTTTCGGTCATATTTAATAATATATGTCTACAGGAAAGACTGCTACCAAAATATACTAATATATATATATATATATATATATATATATATATATATATATATATATATATATATATATATATATATATATATATATATATATATATATGTACAGTTTGGCCTATGGTAGGCTAGACAAGTAGTTTTGATTTTGTTGACAATTCTATATATTTGAAGTAGATGAATCATTTAGCGAGATACGATTTGTAGCGAGAAACTGAAAATGTCTAACCTAACCCGCTGAGAGTGACGTGTAAAGTGTTTTTCCCTGTATAAATTGGAGGATATTTTGAATGGTGATTGATTGATTAAGATTAAACCACCTAAAAGGTGGCACGGGCATGAATAGCCCGTAAGTGGAGGCTCTTTGGAGCCAGAACCAATAGCTGATACTGGAGATCTGTAAATGGACACTGGATGATGATTACTCGAGAATGATGGTGAGTGAAAATGTGGAGCAGTGTGGAGGGGGAAGAGTTCGCGCCAGTCAGATACTCGCTAATCTAGCAGGCTTCTTTTATGAGTGAAAGAACAGTTCTTATGAGTGAAAGAACAGTTTTTGTGAGTGAAAGAACAGTTCTTATGAGTGAAAGAACAGTTTTTATGAGTGAAAGAACAGTTTTTATGAGTGAAAGAACAGTTTTTATGAGTGAAAGAACAGTTCTTATGAGTGTAGAACAGTTTGTGAAACACGCAGGTCATTTCCCTCGAACCTTTCTCGAACTGTGCTTCGTTCAGATGATGATTTTTCCAGTTCCAGTTGACTTCTCTTAACAACTCGTCCCCATCAACAAGGGTCAGTGCTCATCCCTGGCAGCCGCCAAACCCTTTGTTTACAAATGACAAACGCCTTACAAACTGATGATGTCTGAAAAAATTTCGAACAGCGCCTCAGCATCTCTCCAAAGGCCTAACTAAACCGGGAGTTATAACATACAATATACAGTATATGGGAGAAACAACGACCCTCTTGTATCTCAGCATAACTGCTCGTTATTCAATAGAACTGAGCTCAACATATCCTCCAGGTTCATCTCACCATAGAACATTGAACATAGAATAAATGGAATATCGTGCCTTGAACACCAACACGATATTCAATTTATTTTTACAACTCAACGTATCCTCCAGGTTCATCTCACCATAGAACATTGAACATAGAACATAGAATAAATGGAATATCGTGCCTTGGACACCAACACGATATTCAATTTATTTTTACAACTTAGGTAATGCAATAATCAAATACACGAAACGCAATTCCAAATGTGTGGAAATGGGGGTGCAGAATTTTAATTGAATAACAGAATTTCATTTCCTTAGTAATACAATGCATAACTGTATTATGAGTGGAAATGGTGCTGAATATCGGCATTTAATGACTGTTAACTGAACAGGGTTTAGACTTTAATGTCACCAGTTCATTGAACACATGATGATACGCTAGATGTTCAAGTAATGACACTCTTACACTCAGATGATGAGTGTCACTTTACACTCAGATGATGAGTGTCACTTTACACTCAGATGATGAGTGTCATCTTACACTCAGATGATGAGTGTCGCTTTACACTCAGATGATGAGTGTACACAAAGGTGTACAATGACAGTCATTGTTCACTAGGGCGTACACTGACGGTACTCGTGAACTCCTGAACAAATTATACACCAGTAGAATCATAAAAGAATGAGTAGATTATTACTTAAATGAGTAGATTATTACTTAAATGAGTAGATTATTACTTAAATGAGTAGATTATTACTTAAATGAGTAGATTATTACTTAAATGAGTAGATTATTACTTAAATGAGTAGATTATTACTTAAATGAGTAGATTATTACTTAAATGAGTAGATTATTATTAAATAAAAGATTATACACCAATAGAATCATAAAAAGAATGACTGTCAATGCACAAAGGTTTATGATGTCAATTTTCTCTACGCGGTTCCAATATAATCTGTATCGAGCCGCTATATTAACCGACAGGAGGCAGGGATGGATGGCTGAGTGGACAGATGGATGGCTGAGTGGACAGATGGATGGCTGAGTGGACAGATGGATGGCTGAGTGGACAGATGGATGGCTGAGTGGACAGATGGATGTTTGAGTGGACAGATGGATGGCTGAGTGGACAGATGGATGTTTGAGTGGACAGATGGATGTTTGAGTGGACAGATGGATGTTTGAGTGGCCAGCCAGATGGTAGACAGCCAGACAGATATATAAAAAAGTATCCAACTCGATCACCGGTGTGACTGAACCGTATGAACTGTGAATTATTAAAAAACAAAAAAATACATGAAAGTGTTTTACCTTTTATAAAATATGTTGAAAGGAAAGATGACTTCAAACAACAGACTTCATAAAAGCGCCAGTTTTCTGATATCAGACAACGGACACAATTCAGTGTCGGAGTGGTGGGTGTAGTTGATAAGAGAACACTGTGACCGGGGGAGAACCTATATAGAGTCCACTACGGGCTCACCATAGCCCGTGCTACTTGGAACTTTTTGTTCCAGGTAGCAAATCTTAAACAACAACAGAGGGGAAGAACCCCCCAGTGTGAGGTTGGGTAGTGTGCAGTTGGTACTCTTGCAACGCCACATTTAGTTCCAGTGGGGGGGGGAGCCTTGGTTAGGCCGGAGGGAGCATTGGTTAGGCCGGAGGGAGCATTGGTTAGGCCGGAGGGAGCATTGGTTAGGCCGGAGGGAGCATTGGTTAGGACGGAGGGAGCCTTGGCTAGGCCGGAGGGAGCATTGGTTAGACCGGAGGGAACATTGGTTAGGCCGGAGGGAGCCTTAGTTAGGCCATAAGGAGCCTGGGTTAGGCCATAGGGAGCCTGGGTTAGGCCAGAGGGAGCCTTGGTTAGGCCGGAGGGAGCCTTGGTTAGGCCGGAGGGGTCGTCTAATTATACTGCGATCAGGGGTGCCTGGAATGACTTGGCTGGGCAGGTGAAGATATAGTGTTGTTATCCTACCATCAACGTGTCAATACTAACAGCATGCCAACACCAACAGCCTGCCAATACTCACTTTTCTTCTTCTCCTCGCTGTCCTTCTCGTCTGAAAAAGGTGAGTCAGGTTGCTCCCTCTCGAAGGTGTACTCAGAGATCTGGTATCTAGGCGGAGGACCTGATGTGGTCACCACCCCCGCCGGTCTCTGATTGGGTGTGGCTCGCCGGTAGTTGGTGGGTGTGGCTGTCGCAGGTGTGGAGGATGTGGCCTCCCTGAAGCTGCCTCTCCCTTCTCTCTCTCTCCCGAGGCCTGCTCTCGCTGCCTCTACCGCGGCGCCTCCTTCTGCACCCGGGATGCTGCCTCCTGCTCCTCCTCCTGCCGCTCGGGATTTCCCCGCACTGCTACACACTCGCTTGAGACTGCCGCTTAAACTCCTGCCGTTCCTCCCGCCGTCTGAAGACACTCTTGGAGCCGTGCCGAAGATGCCTCCGTCTGTATTTCGTCTGTTAACTGGTCCGTTGGGAAGAGGCAGCGTCTGCAAGGAGAGGGAAAACATCTTTTGAAAATCTTGCTTTTGGTGAGCGTTTTGAGAGACTCTGATCTCCTACCTTTAACATTTAGTTATGTTGCAATATACACCCCCCTTTCCCCCTGCTTGCAATCAGTACTGTTGCAACTGAGTGGCACTGTAGATCAGGCTCAGAACTCATCAAGCATCTGCATATCCACATGCGAAACTGTGTAATAAATGCAGACACAGCCGCCATGATCGAGGAAAGATGCATAGGTTTCGTTCAATCCCTGACCGTCCAAGTGGTTTGCTACCATTCCTTCCCCCCGGTCTCATCCTAAATCCTAACCCTGACCCCTTCCCAGTGCTATATAGTCGTTATGGCTTGGCGCTTCCCCCCCCCCCTCCCCTGATTATTCCCTTCATGATCCATATATTTGCACTAAAGCAGCTTGCAGAAAAGCCACATGAAAAGCTCTACTCATATGGTGTAGAGCTTCTGGGAACACTGGTAGCCGCTCCCTTCCCCTCGTCACCATCACCTGTCCTCCAGCTCACCATAAACCCGTCATCCACTAACACTGTAACTCACCACTGGTAAGTCGCCACAATAAATCCCCATTAACCCCTCGACTGCGCCTCTATTCATATCTCTCTCTAATGGTCAGTATTGAGGCGTGGTGTAGTGGCGGCCAGAGCCCTGCCGCCACCCTCACCAAAGGCTTGTATTGCTCCTTGTAACTATAGTTATCACGTAGTAACTTAAAGTTATCACGTGTCAGTATTAGTTATCATCACGGCTCTCTATACATATGCGATCGATTCATTTTTCATTTTACCTATATATATATATATATATATATATATATATATATATATATATATATATATATATATATATATATATATATATATATATGAAGATGAAGGAAAACCTCAATATATGTGTAAGTGTATTAAAATCAAATTTTCGAATGCAATCGACATCTTTTCTCAAAGAGCTATGCTCAATGTTCAGATCACTGATCACAGCACCTTGAGAAAGAATGTAGGTCGCATTGAAAAATTAGATTTTTAATACACTTAAAACCCATATATTGTCTTTCCTTCACTGTCATTCAAGCACTACGGTATTATAGCAACTTACAGATGAGGAGTTACAATAACGTGGCTGAACAATGTTGACCAGACCACACACTAGAAAGTGAAGAGACGACGACGTTTCGGTCCGTCCTGGACCATTCTCAAGTCCGTCCTGGACCATTCTCAAGTCCGTCCTGGACCATTCTCAAGTCCGTCCTGGACCATTCTCATGTCGATTATCGTAAGTTACTCAGTGTAACTTTATTCTGCACAAACTGTGATTTTTAACTCCTACTCACGCTTTCATGTTATTCGTCAGTCAGTCTGCCATTATCCCTTTCTCTCTCTCACTTTATTTACGGGCAAAACCACTGGCATTTCCCACCGTGGTGGAGATTGTATCTTTAGAGATTAATCGTCCTGTCAGCAATATTTTTAGCATGGAAACGCTACGGGGCAATTATCTTCATAAATCTCTCTCTTTCTCTCTCTCTCTCTCTCTCTCTCTCTCTCTCTCTCTCTCTCTCTCTCTCTCTCTCTCTCTCTCTCTCTCTCTCTCTGTCTGTCTCTGTCTATCTGTCTCTGTCTCTGTCTATCTGTCTGTCTGTCTGTCTGTCTCTCTCTCTCTCTCTCTCTCTCTCTCTCTCTCTCTCTCTCTCTCTCTGTCTCTGTCTCTGTCTCTGTCTCTCTCTCTGTCTATCTGTCTGTCTGTCTGTCTGTCTCTCTCTCTCTCTCTCTCTCTCTCTCTCTCTCTCTCAGCCAACACTTTGACTACTTTATTAAGGTTCAATATGTTTCTCTCTCGGCAGCATTCCGGAATCTGATTGTAAGTCATATTTGAGAATTTTAAAAGTTATTTACCGTAATCAATAGTTCTGGTCGCATTTATTACGACAAATTGTTACTTATTTTCTATTCTTGTCTTTAGTATTCTGATCATGGGGGCAAATTTTTCTTGGTAAATGCGTTTTTTTTCTTACTAATAATAAACGTGTTTACTCATTTGATTTTATCTATGTAAGAGTGATTTAATACTCAGACGTTTAGGTATGTTGTACCACTTAGCGAAAGTTGTGTTAGGCAGTGAATACCTCCAAGGTTGAGGAGGTCCTATGATTACTAGTACTTCACTACGGGCTCACCATAGCCCGTGCTACTTGGAATTTTATGTTCCAAGTAACTGAATCTATAACAACAACAACGATTACTAGTAATAACACACCTGAGGCAGATTTCATCTCTCCTCAGTGATGACTTGCTTCGTTAGTGTGCCTTGATTTGTCCAATTGTCTAGAGCTTGACTGATCAGGATATGTTTGTTATTCAATTTCTGTAGAGTATCTGAAGAGTCCGATGAATCCTTCCCTTTTAACTTCTGCCTGTTACCTGGTTCTCCTACTTGATGGGGTTCTGGGAGTTCTTGTACTCCCCAAGCCCGGCCCGAGGCCAGGCTTGACTTGTGAGAGCTTGGTCCAACAGGCTGTTGCTTGGAGCGGCCCGCAGGCCCATGTATCCATCACAGCCAGGTTGGTCCAGCAGTTCTTGAAGAAAACTGTCTAGTTTTTTCTCGAAGATGTCCACGGTTGTTCTGGCAATACTTCTTGTACTTGCTGGGAGGATGTTGAACAACCGCGGTGGATCTCTGATGTTTGTATAGTGTTCTCTGATTGTGCCTATGGCACCCCTGCTCTTCACTGGTTCTATTTTGAATTTCCTTCCATATCGTTCACTCCAGTACGTTGTTATTTTACTGTGTAGATTTGGTAACTGGCCCTCCAATATTTTCCACGTGTATATTATTTGATATCTCTCTCGTCTCCTTTCTTGGGAGTACATTTGGAGAGCTTTGAGACGATCCCAATAATTTAAATGCTTTATCGCGTCTATGTATGCCGTATATGTTCTCTGTACTCCCTCTATTGTAGCAATCTCTCCTGCTCTGGAGGGAAAGTGAGTACTGAGCAGTACTCAAGACGGGACAACACAAGTGATTTGAATAGAACAGCCATTCTGATGGGATCCCTGGATTGAAAGTTTTTGTAATCTATCCTATAAATTTTTGTGGCTGACGCAATATTTGTTTGGTTATGCTCCCTAAACGTTAGGTCGTCGGATATCATTATTCCCAAATCCTTTACATGCTGCTTTTCTACTATGGGCAGATTTAATTGTTTTCTGTACTTTGCATTATGTTTAAGGTCCTCATTTTTACCTTATATGAGTACCTGGAATTTCAGTCTCTGCTCGATTTCTTCAATCGCCCTGTTTAAATTATTCCTTCTTTGTTAGGAATGTCGTGTCTGCTGAAGCATTTCCGTTATTTTTTCTACTTATGTAGTGCCGTCTGCGTTCTCTTTCTATGTTGAACCTCTTTTTGACTTTCAGCAAAGGAACATGTTTCATACACACTTTATATGCTTCAGAAGTGAGTTTTTCTATTCCTTGTGTAGGATTGATATTACTTATAACAGTTTCCCATTGAATATTCGTAAGTTCCCTGTCTATTTTCTCCCGGTCTATCTTGTTATTAAAATGGAATTTAATGAATAACCCCTCTTGCTTGATCATAGTTTTAGTTCTGTTCTGAGTACTGATGGTAGTTTGCACTTCAATGAGTTTGTGATCTGAGTATGTAGTGTCTGAGATTGTAATGTCCCCATTTATGTCTTAGTTGTTTGTGAAGACCAGATCTAGAATACTTTCGTTCCAAGTTGGCTCTGTTATCTGTTGGTTGAGTGAAAATTTGTCACAGAAACTAAGTCGTTCTCTAATCTGTGGTTGGTTATGTCCCGATAGATTTCCTGGTATAATATTACTGTTTGATATTCTCCATCTTAGACTAGGCAAGTTGAAGTCACCTAGGATGATAATATCAGGTATCGGATCTACCGAATTATCAAGGCACTTTTCTATTTTGTTCATCTGTTCTGTGAATTTCTCAGTCGTTGCATCTGGCGGTTAGTATATTAGAATAAAAACTAAGTTTATTTTCTCTATTTTACTCCCAGTACCTCTACCACCTCATTTGTAACGTTAAGGAGCTCCGAGCATACAAGGTCTTTCCTATTATGTCTTCCCTATCTCTTCCCCATTATGTTGCTTGCCACTCTAATATATAACGTTCTGTGCCTTTCACGTGAAAATCTGGGCAGTTGAAGTCATAGCATTTTCTGTCCTCGTGTGAGGTTTGGCACATGTCAGGATGGAAAAACAATACAAGTTAATCCAAATCGACACTTTCTTTTCCTAAGCATATTTAATCATTTTCTGGGATGATGGTAGCTACTTTCTAATCCCTTTCTTTTTTCCCCGATTATCTATGTCTGCAAATGTCCTTTATATAGAATTTGCATATGTCTGTTCTTCTTGTCTGTCTCTATCGGGGACCGATTTAGTGTCTGTACCTATCGAGTTGTCAGTGCTGTCTGTTACACTTTCTAGTCTACTGTCATCTGCATCCAGGTATACTGAATCAGAATGTATAACTTCCTGAATTTCTTTTTCAGTTTCCTGTCTGTCTAAAGCCTCGGTGCCTGGTCTATTATTATGTGTTTCCTCTCCATTCCCAGAACAAAATCACACTCTTATTGAAGTGATTCAGTCACCTATAAACTTACATAACGTTTGATGACATCCAATTAACCAATTTACAAGCCGAATTGGCCTGACTGCATGAGCATATTTAATGAGATTAAACACTGAGGTTTCGTGATAATACCAATTTCCAAATTTCTTCAAACATGTTGACCAAACCACACACTAGAAAGTGAAGGGACGACGACGTTTCGGTCCGTCCTGGACCATTCTCAAGTCGATTCCTCAAACATCTTCCACACCCACTCCTGCACCCACTTCCAGCACTACTCCACCCTGTCCCTCCCCCCCCCACACCCACGCGCCCACCCACTCACGCGTCTATCAGTGTGGGATGAGTCTGCAAG